AGGAGTCTTCTCAAGAGATCAATAAAGTTCCATTTAATTTAATCTAATCCAATCAGAGTTCTTGTTAGTTCATGAGGTTTGAGTCCACATGGAACAATAATAATTTTTCAGTTGTTAAATATAAAGCTCTTGCTTCCAACTTTAACAAAATAATATTCACGATAAAATCTGATATAGATTAGATAAATTACAGAAGAAACTCACAGTGTTTCGTCAATATATATTTATGCATGTTGATTCTAAAAGTAGAAGCTTCCTCACAAAATCCTAAACTTTAAAAACATCCATCCATCCATTATCTTTACCCGTTTATTCCATTTTGGGTCACGAGGGTCGCTGGTGCCCATGTCCAGCAATCACTGTCCAGCAATCACTGTGCGAAGGGCGGGGTACACCCTGGACGGGTCGCAAGTCCATCACAGAGACATAGAGACAAATGAGACAAACAACCATTCACTCTCTCACTCACACCTAGGGACCATTTAGAGTTACCAATCAGCCTAACATGCATGTTTTTGCTCTGTGGGAGGAAACTGGAGTACCTGGAGAAAACCGACGCATACATGGAGAGAACTACAAACTTCACTACGAATTCCAGCTCCTGGCTGGAATTCAATCTGGCAACCTTCTCGCTGAGAGGCAGCAGCTCTACCAGCAGTGCCACCGTGCTGCCCACTTAAAAAAAACAACAACAAGCAAACATAAATTAAAAAAAAGAACAAAATACAAATAAAAGCATAAAAAAAATCACTAAACTACTTTACTTGACTTTTCCAGTTGACTTTGGATGGGGATTTTTTTTTTTTACATATGTGTTAAAGCTGTCAGGAAAAAAATTGTTTAACATTTGGACTGGTCACATCATCAGTTTATACTGTACTTAGAATATTAATAATAATATAATAATATTAATTAGAATAGAATAGAATAGAATGGAATAGAATAGAATGGAATAGAATAGAAAAGAATGGAATAGAATAGATTGACCAATATGAGTTTTTTCTGGCCATATCAGGGAAGCCAATATCCAACATACTATAGTTTTAGGGCAAATACGGATTTTTCTTACATAACGTAGTATAACAATAATTGCTTATCCTAAATAAACACATATTTAACAACTCAGAAGAATTTGACTCGCTTAAAAAATAATGTATGGAACAATTTCACTTAAAAATGCAATACTGTGCACTGGTTGGAGCTGCTGCATCTTTATTTTCCTACCTGGTAACTGATTAAATAAGGACAGGCATGGCTGATTGCAAACATTTTTAAAAAGTGGCCAATATCAGCTAATTAATCAATCTAGCTTCAAAGAATAGGATCATTTTTATTGTCACTGTGTTGCTTGTACACAATATTAGAAATAGAAAACTAGCATTTGAAGGACAATGAGTGCTAGCCTAAAAATTCAAATGAATACATACAGAAATGTAAAATAATCTGCTTTTCTTCTTTTAGGCAATCAAAGAGAGCTCATATTTATGAGAGTGCAGTGACCCGTGGAGAGCCGGAGGATCCTGTGGCGGTCAGAGGTGTGAAGAGGTCAACCAGCTTCATCAACCCTCTGGCCTTCTTCAGGAAACCAGAGCCAGTGAGGGACAACTCCAGGATCTACTACATCTACAGCAACCCGCTGCCTGTTGGGTTGAAGGAGGAAGAGGAGGAGGAGCGGAGCAAAGTCAGATCAGAGCAGACTGCACGCTCAGTTCCTCTGTCCTTAGAGGAGTACGCCCGTGACCCCAATAGTGGCCTCGTCCTGGACCCCCCCATTTTTTACATGCAGCTTTAGAGCGTAAAAAGAAAAAAAAAAAAGTTTTGAAGTTATATAGACTCAGGTTTGAGTTAAAGTTATCAAAACTGTACAGCTAAGAAATTTATAGTGAGTTTATACTATACTATATATAAATACTATACATAATTGAGTTGTAAGGTACTCGCTACTTTGCGCCGTGATTCGAGTTTCGCGGACTCGCTCTTTCGCAGTTTTTCAACGATTGTCCTCGTTAATATTACTCACGTGATTGGGATGGTACGGAAGAAAAAGTTAATGAAAATTAAAAAAAACTTCAGACATGCGCAGACATTTTGTAGTTTTCTTTCAATAAGCCTATAATGTAACGCCAGTCAAAAGAACTACACTACCCAGAAGTCAACGGTGCTTCCGGCTGATGCTTTCTGCCAAAATGGAGGGAAAGTTTTGCAACGCAAAGTCACAAGTAACGATCTATCTGTGATGCTCACAGAACTGGCAGGAAAGTCGCAAATAGTCCTGAATCTTCCTAAAGCTCAATTATCCACGTGCACATCAACCTGGTGGGCTTCGTCGCTGCAGGGCAGGTCTGCAGAACTGGAACTGAACTGTTGTTCTGCAGAGCTGGTGAATAACATTTTGCAGTACTGCACAATACATAAAACGTATGTTGTTAAAATGATGTAGGTGTAAGAGTTTAGAATACTGCAAGAGTGTGAGAAGGGTTCATAAAGCCATAAAATATATATAAATACTAAAATAAATATAGCGTTTCTACTTCGCGGTTTTTCACCTATCGCGGGAGTGTCTGGAACGTAACCCCTGTGATAATTGAGGGACTACTGTAATAAAAATAATTTTCCAGTCTGTGAGTTTTATATTGCTGGAAAAAAGTTAACTGTTGTGAGCATATTTATGATGCATTTATTGACAATTGGAAATTCTTAATTTCTGATCTTCATGTTGGTTTGGCAACTCTGCTGGCATTGCTCATTCGGACAGCCACGTTAAAGTATTATTCAGAAAGCAGTTCACACAGTAAATGCATCTTTCTTTTATCCTTCACAATCCAGTAAGACGGTTTGAGTTGTTAAAGACTTAACATATCTTCGTTTAATTGCAAAAACAAAACAAAAAAACCCACAAAAACATTTGAAGCCATGTTTTCCCACTCACTTTGTTCATATGTAGATGCAGCATATTGTATTTTTTTTACACGTTTGACTTTTAACAGGTGAAACTCACCCTGACTTCAGCTTGATCTACAGGAAGAGACCTGGGTCGGAGAACTGTATCATGATTAAGATCCTACAGAGAGCAACACAAATCTTGTGCACACCAGCAGTCCCCTCTTGTATGGTGCTGCTTTGTTTTAAATCCCAACATTGCCTAAACTTACAATAGTGTGAATGTTTATGAAGAATTCACACTATTGTGATCCATTTTTCTCTACATTTTTTAGCATCTTTATTGTTCTACAATTTTTGTGCTATTTCAACAAATCATATATCAAAACATTCAGCTCTTTCAGGACAATCCTACTAGTGACTTTTGGTATTGGTGAAACTTTAGCTTTTTGAAATATTTAGCCTTTTCTGATTTTTTTTCCTCATAGAAAATGAATTGAACTCGTTTACATCCTTACGTTTACAACCTTTTACTGCTCCTTTCACATTTTGTTCTGCTTCAGCTTTTTTCAGTTTCCTTGTGCAAATTTAAACTTTTTTCAGCTCCTTTCAGCTGTTTTGCACTCCTTTTAGATTTTTTATTTTTTTGACCAACTACACATTTGTGCTTGTTCTAACATCTTGCTGCTAATTTCAGCTGGTCATGCTCCTTTCAGCTTATTTCTGCATGTTTCAGCATTTCCTACTGTTTCATCTACTATTTAGCCATTTTTATGCTCATTTTAGAATTTTTAGCTAATTCCACATTTTTTGCACTCATTTCAACTTTTTTCCAGCTTAATTCAGCACAAATGTGCTCTCTTCATTTCTGATAATTTCATATTTGTGCTTTTTTTAAGCTACTTTTCAGCTGTTTTCTTTTTTTGTTGTTGTTGCTAATTTCAGCTTTTTCCAGATAATTTCAAGTTGATCATTTCTGCTTCTTTCAGCCTAACTAGGCACAATTGTGCTACTTCTGCTAATTTAAGCTTGTTCTAATTTTTTTTTGTGTGCAAATTTCAGCTGTTTGGTGACTTAAGCTACTTTGGCTAATTACTTCTTTCTGCTAATTTCAGACTGTTATGCTCGCTTCAACTTATTTCTTCTAGTTTCAGCTTTTTATGCTGTTTCAGCTACTATCCTGATGCATGCTAAATAATCCAAGTAGAAAAATCTAAAAAAAAGTTGTCACGTTCCTCTGGATGTTTTTTTTTTTTTTTAAAACATCCAGAGGACCTGACTTAACTATGGATATTTCAGCTACTATTTAGCCGTTTTCTGCCAAATTTAGCTTTTTCAGCTAATTCCACATTTTTTAGCTCATTTCAGCTCCATCCACTTCCTTCTGGTAGTTTAAGCTTCTTTTTCCCTTTTCAGCTACTTTTTTCTTATTTGAGCTTTTTTTTAAGCTAATTTCCCAACTGTTTTGCTCATTTCTGCTTATTTAAACATAATTCAGCAAATATGTGTTCTTTCTGTTTTCTTCTGCTAACTTTGGCTTCTTCCATTTCAGCATGTTTTTAGCTGATTTAGCTCTTTTTTTAGCAAGTTTTTCAGCAATAAGCATTTACACTGCATTGTCGCAGGAAAAGCAATGTAGTAATCTAGTATTCAGTTAAATCCTCTATAAGAAACTGCAGTTTCGTTTGCATACCTTCATTTTTCAATACATACAAATGTGTGCAGTTTATGTGATACGTTACTTTTTATGTCAGATGTTTATCCATTCGTTAGATTTAATGAGATGTGTTTTTTAAATGTCCAACCAATACATTATCAATTAGCATTTTAAAGTTCAATCAATACTTTCTACAAAAAAGAAAAAAAAAATTAAAATACAAAAAATACTTCATAAATTAAAATGGTTTGAATTGGGCTCTAAAACGATTGTTTTTATTTGTTTGTTAACAATGATGTGTCATTTTAGTCACTGCACCTTTAAAGTTTTTAAATGATTTGTAATTGTTTTCCATTAAAGAAATACAACATTTTAATCGTCGACATTTTCTTTGAAAAGCAAGAAATAAAGTGAAGTTCTTGACTTTTATTAATCTTTATTAAAACTGGTGATGTGCTTTACAAAAGAAGCTGAGTAAGACAGAGAAAGATGAGAAAGGTACAAACGATTATCAATATCGAGCAGTCAGTAAGATGTAAGAGTTCATCCTCAGATGATTGGCTCAGTCTCTCTGATCAGCCAATCCAAAGCCTCCATCTTGCCCTGCCTCTCCAGCTCTGCTCCCACCACCTCCCGGCACTTCTTGTGGTACTCGTTCACCCAGTCCTTCTGCAGGACGTGAAGACAAGACATGTCAGACCAGGTCGCTGAACGCTCACATTTTTTTTCATTCAACTTTTATTTATTCAGGTTAGTCCACGAGGACTCATTTACAAGAGAAACCTGTTTTCAACAAACACAGATGAGGTAGAGACAACAGCAGACAATCATATAAAAGGCCTATAAAATGAAAAGTAAATAAAAGAAATAATATAAAAACAAAACAAAAAACAGCTACATTACAAAACAATGTTAAAAACTAAAAACGGGAACAACAAAGTCCATGCTCAATAATCCAGGTATTAAATCCAACATTTTTCAGTCAGGTCATCTGGACTGAAACTGTCCAGATAACCTGAATGAAAAATGTTGGATTGTATACCTGAATTATTGAGCATGGACTTTGATGTTTTCAACCAGTTTGACAAGACTGTCAACAAGAAAGAGGGCTGGCAATGGAGGAGGGGCGTACCAAAGAGACCATCTAATCACAAGCAGAACTGGTTTGTTCCACTTTGGAGTAAGCTGTTGGAGGAAGAATCAGTTTTGTTGTGCGTTTCCTTGACTGATGAAGCCTTCCAGATCGTAGGCGAAACGTTTCAGCACAAAAAAAAGAAACTGTCCAGATGACCTGACTGAAAAATTTTAAAAACAGGAACATGTCTGCGTTGGTTTTTGCCATGAACTTTGCAGTTGTTTAGAATCCCTTAGAGCGGTCAAAGTCGACAACTTCAGATCTGTTTGCAAGATATTCCAGGTTACAGAAGCGGAGTAAGAGTAGGCCCTTTTGCCAAATTCAGTCCATACTAAGGGGACGCTGCAGGTAATTATGTCATGAGAGCGCACGCTGTAGCTGCACTCACAGAGTGATATGTAGGTGATGTATGAAGACAGCAGACCAAGTGATTTAAAGATGAAAATCTACCCGTGTGAGAGCCTGCATGAAGTTAATGATGACCAGTTAACCAGTGAATACAGGGTGCTGTGGTGTGTACGGTAGTTACAGCCAGTTATGAATCTTAGTGCACTGTGACAGACAGCATCCAACATCTGCAGAGCGCTTGTAGGAGCATTTATGTAAAGATAGCCAAATGTTTGTAAGAGTTGACAAATTCAATAGGGACACCATTTGTAGCTAAGATAGAAGGACTGCTGGGACCGACTTCCTGTTTGAAAACAACATTCCTTAAGTTTTGTTGACATTTACCACAAGTCTGAGATGGAACAAATCTGACTGAATGATGTTGAATGAGGACTGTAAAAGATGGAAAACCTTACCAACTGTTCTAGCTTGACAATAAACTACTGTGTCATTGGCATAGAAATGTAAGAACGAAATGATCTGACCTACATTATGTAGACTGTGAAGAGAGCGGGTCCTAAGACTGAACCTTGTGGTACACCGTTGTTAACAGTTAGATAAATGGAAGAACTACCATTATGTTGAACACATTGCCTCCTATCAGAGATAGTTAGTGAACGAACCAGTGGCGTGATCTGAGAAACCAATTTCTGAGAGCTTATGACATAAGATGTCATGATCCACATTTAATGTTGTAATGTTTAAATAATTAAATTAAATTCAGTTAATTTATACAGCGCCAAGTCACAATA